GACGCTCTCCAAAAGCTTTTCTTTTTATCCCTTTTGACGCCTGCCAGGACGTTATACACGCTATCGCTTTCATGTGTTATGCTTGCTTGTCTCTATCACTTGCCGTCTGGTAAATGTACGCACGTTTTGTTCCGCGTGTTCCGCGAAAGGCGATTGCGATCGAAGTTACGCACTCCCCCATAATTCTAACCCTCGTACACGGTTTACCGCTTCTCTGTGTCAAGCATGTAAAGCGGTAATAACGCGTCACGTCGTTAGCGTCGGACAAACTGCGACCGGTGCCTCGTCACGATCGAGATTAATTAGCGCGGGAGATAGTATCGCTCATAACGATATCGCGTCACATTCGCGGAGAATGCTTCGAGAACGAGCGAAACGCACGAAACGCGATTCCTCTTGTCGAGGAATCGGGACCTATACGCAATCAAGTACATCGACTCTTAGAACAATACACGCGAATGGGAAGGGAACTCATAAATAATGTATAATGTTTTTCGGACATTGACCCATCCCTCAAAAAGCCATGTTTCCCTCCGCCCTCCGTCATGGCCTTTCTCGAATCGATCCTCGCTCTCCTCCGGGGATGTGCTCGATGCTTTCAGAATCGTTTCCAATTTCCTTCGGCAACCGCTACTTAAAGCATTTGAATAACTTTTCGGAAACTCCCTTTCCCTTCCGCGCGGCCACCTTTCCAACCTCTTCGTCCATATCTTTGATCCTCCCGTTCCGACTTGTCTTATTGCGTACAGTTCACGAGGCATGGTGGTAGAAGGAAAAGTGGATATCATCCGCGATGATTGATCGCTATAGAGGAGTACTCCTCGCCACCCCACCCATCATCCCTCCCCCTCCATTCCCAATGTCCGAAAAACATTCGTCTGTTAAGCCACCCTCTACGCAAACACGGGAACGGGGCGATCTTCCAGGAACGAATCCGACATGGGGTTGGAAAGATATTTCTGAGTAGGGGGCGGCGATGTATATTCGGGAATATATTCGCTTCGCGGGAGAGCTTCTTTCGGGAAAGTCTTCCGCTCGAATGTTCCCGAACTGCAAATATTCCGAGAGCAGGCAAATGGCAGTCGTGATTTAACGATCGTTGCTAGACATTCGCCTTCGCGTCACGAAACGAAAGCGCCGAAGGACGCGAACTGAATTCGAGAACCGGCCTCGTGTTTCATATATTGATAAATATTCTTTAAGAAACGTATAAAAATGGAAAGGCGCGCGCAAAAGTTATTTTCACGAAAGTCAAGTCACGCATTTTCACCGATAAATAATTGATTTGTTTTATGTCATTAGATCTCGTATTCTCTTTACGGAAACTTTATATTTCAATTTTGAAGATTAAATGTCTCGCTATGAAAAACCCATTTTACATTAATTGAAAAATAATACTTTATTATCTATCTGAATGTGCTTTGATATTTTACACTTCGCCATAATCCCCTATCTATGTTTTAGAAAAAAATATGCATATCACCTTGAAATATATAAATGAATAATAACGTTTTCATATAGGCAATATTGAATTATATTATTGTGATTATCAAGTTTCAAATAATACAAGAAAATTACAAACAGATTTGATTCTCTTATTTGTCGTTTTGAATCATATTCTAAGATGGATGAGATATTTAGTGCGTCAGTGCGACGTTATGCAACAAATTCGCTCTAGTTACGCTGAAAGTTTTCTGAGAGCGAAGTAGTTTCCGTCGGTAGTTTATTTGTTAAATATTAACATGAGATTGGCGTGTCTCAATTACGGAACCACACTGTTCGCAAGTTAATTGATTAAAGAAGATAATGTTTACATAAAACATTATCAATGAGCATAAAACTAATTAATTTTATTTCTATATAAGTTCGAGAATATGTAACGTAGAAAATAATTAATCTCTCTCTCTTATACACACAAATAAATTTCACATAGTTGCAAATAATTATTACTATTTCTTTCTCAATGCGATAAATAATTTCGATAAACATTGTACGATATCTCGCAATGAAAAAATTTAAATAAACGCGATAAACGAGAGGCATCGCTTTCGCAGTTTGTCCGATGACAGGTTAAACATCGGAGTCTAAAAATTCGATCCAATTTTTTATCCTTGCGTGGCCCTTTGTAGTAGTCAAAGTAATCAAAGTCACATTTTTCGCGACGTATTTGATCGTCAAACTGATGAAAACGGGACGAAAGGGATAATAGCGGTGCATCACGAAATACAATAGTAATTTAAAGAAAATTAGTGGAGAAGA